CTTGGAGAAGCTTGATCTCGGCAGTCCAATTTGCGAGCTTGAACGTCGGAATTTTCAAAATGGTAACTGGCTTTCCCAGCTGCCCAGCAGTTTGGGAATGCTGACACGACTGCGTAAACTTATCGCCAATGAGAATCAGCTGAGGTTTTTGCCTGAGAATATTGGCGGGCTGGTTAGCTTAGAATACATTGATTTAGGACAAAACCTACTACAGGTGTTACCCGAATCTTTCTGTCAGTTAGTTGCATTGAAGGTTTGTCTTCTCTCAAAAAATCATCTGGAGCAGCTCCCGGAAGATTTTGGTAAGCTAACTCAATTGGAAGATTTCCGTGCAGACAATAATTTGATTAAGGAACTACCAAAATCATTCTGCCAGCTAGTCAACTTAAAGACATTTGATTTATTCAATAATAAGCTGAAAGAGATACCAAGAGTTCTAGAGTATTTCACCAAGCTCACCAGGTTGGATATTGACATGGTATGTGTATGTATTATAAGTTAAATAAGAACAATCCCTTAATGGGTTTTTGCCATTAGATTCACGAAACATACATAGAAATGCTACTTGTATGTGTTATTGCTGTGTGACATGCATGTATGATGTTTCACTTTTGTTTTATTTATAATATAGAATGATTTCAATATTAACTGCGAGGCAGACATTCCACAGATTGTCCATGTACCAGAATATCCAGAACGTGACCCAGGCTCTGAAGAACAACTGGCGAGGAAAAGGCAGACAGGACTTGGTGAAAACTAACATTATCAAAGTAAGCCAGATTGTGGTTTAATTATTTGATTGTGAACTTTCTGTGTTATAGAGTCATCTGATGTGTTCATCCAATATAGCCTGGAGTCCAGCCATTCAAAAAATGGCCTGGTGAATCGCTACGTAAATGCATGAATGGCACAGAATTCTGTCATTGATTGGCTTTCTCCACGTAAGGCCTGTTTTTCAAAGTCAAAATCAATCAAAAATCAAAATCAAGCATTTCTGCTATTCCAGAACCTGTCCTTGACATGTATCAGCTTATGCATTGGACATTATGTATATGCATTGGACATTATGGGATATCACTTTGTGTTGCAGATCAGATTCAAATGACCAACTAGCAGCCATTTTGTTTTGATGAATGCTTTTCCTGCACCAATCATATCAAACCTTCATACAGGTTTTCCATTATTTATTTCTTTGTTATTGCCAGAACTTCAGGGCGTACGTACATTTGGTTTTAACTGACCATTTGGAGTTCTATGTTGAAAGACGATTATCAAATGTAATGGATAGTTGGGATTATGTGGTTAGCAGCTGGTGTCTTTAAAATTATCTTTATAGTCTATTCAGTTACTGTGAAATGCTTTATTTTATCTGGAAGTAATTTTCGCTGGAAAAACTTTTTTTTGTTATTTTTGTACGGATTTTATGTTCTCTGATTTTTAGCGAGTTGAATGTAAAACATAGGGAAAAAAAGGTATATTCGCTGGATTTTATTTTCACTGAATTATTACTTCAGCGAAAATTAAGTATTTTACAGTATATTAAGTAGCTTCTGATTGTTTTGAATTCAGGTTTACGGTGATGAACAGAGTTCTGTTGAAGAAGATGATGTGAGCAAAAATAGAAAAGAAGCACAGTGGAATCATAGTGCACTGAAAATGGCCATGAGGAGGAACATGTCGCTATGGAAATCACATACGAGCGAAGCATATGAACGGCAAAAGTATGTCAGACAAGAGAATGTAATTGCCGATCATGTCATTGATACTTCGGTGTTTTCTGATGGGGACGAAGATGAGAATGATGGGAATGAGCAAAAACAAGGTAAGATAAGTTGTTTCTAATTTCTTGTAATATTTCTCTTAAGCATTAATCAAACTTTAGACGGCCATTTTAAATTGAAAATTGTTCAAAATACATTTAATTTTAGTTCTCTATTCAAAACCATGGCAAAGTTTGTCTCTAATTAAGCGATTTCTCTAATGAGGCTTGACTGAGTGGACCTAATCAGTCTCTGCCACACATGAATTTCACTATTTGAATATTCTTGTAAGCAAGTATGGTAAACTCTACTCTAAACCTTCTAAAATAAACAGATGATTATGACCTTAATTAATCAGAAAACATTTATTCTGCATTTCACACTGAAGTACGGCACTGCCTGCACCTTTCATGCCATTATACTCAATAGCAAACCTTATTTTTCAAGTTCTGCAACATTTGCATGGCTATTTAAAAATTTTAATTCAAATTATGTTTTCATATAAAATGTATAAAACACTGAATTATGAAAAATGTAGCGTATTTGAAAGATTGAATAATGCCACAGAATTTTTTATATATATATTTTGTATATTTTTTTTGAAAATTCCACTCATTGGCAAGTTATTTTCTCTGTGCTGCGCTCGTGGATGCCATGAACACAAATCCCCACACAATCTTTCCTGAACGCGACTTTTATCAGCTAAAAGCAAGCAGTATAGCAACACATAGTGAATTTGTGTTCTAGTAAAATTATACAGGTTCATTTAAGGACACTATAGAGTAATCCGACGAGCGCTTCTCGAAAGTGCGCCCTCATACGCCGTCGCCATTACTGGGGGGCATATACCACTCAGTCATGGCGTCCCATAACAAATTACGTAAAAATAATAATAATATTTATTAATAACATGCGAACTCGTCCTATTGCCACCACTACAAACTCACCTACAAATATTTAATACGTATTTCCAACGATTATTTTATTGGATATTTGGAAAGACGATGTTAGTGACTGGCTAACATGTGGGGCCGAATGATCAACGGAAGGAGGCCAACCTATAGGACTGTACTCAGGGCTAGAGACTGGCCAAAGCTGGAAATTCAGACTTTGTGTAGAAATTGTTGTAAAACATGATTTTGTTTCGTTTGTGTGTGTTCAAATCGCTACTTGCACGTACAGAGTTAAGCTGTTTTCCAAAACGATCAATATAGAACAGACGTAGGAGAATTATTCTCGTTAGTAAC